ATTAGAACTAAGACAGCAAGTGAGTTGGGATTAGCATGGAAAAAAAAATCCATTAAAAAAAAATTTGGGGGCTCATAGCTAGCTCAAGCTAAACTCATTCTTTTGGGCTGTTTAGAGTTTGAAGTTGTTTTTTTCCCCCGCCTTTTCTTAAAGCCTAACTCTGTTAGATATATTCGGGCCAAAAAAAAAACTCCGTTAGATTATCATATATGGAAAACGAGATTAGGGATTGGTCCCGAAATTTTAAAAATATGACTAGATTATTTTTTAACAATGTATTTATCATATATAAAACGGGCAAAAAAAGATGAAACCTGATGTTTTTAAGTTTAAAACAAAAAGAAAAAGAAATAATGATAATGTCCATATATATATATATATATCTATATATCTTTTTCTGAAAAAATAAGTTAATTAAATCATGCATGACATATACGAGTTGAAAGTGAAAATGCTAGTCTAAGCTGCGTTTAGTTCATTAAAAGATGTGTTAGGACTTCGGATTGTTTTAAATGAGCCTGAGCCTTGAGCTTATCTGAATTTTTACACCAATTGATGATCTGCAACCATGTTATTAAAAATTGCTGTATTTCAACTTGGCTTATGTTTAATTTATATCGTTTTGACAAAATAACGGGAAGAAATCGAGGAAAATGTCATAGTCACAGAGAAGACCATCATTTTTTTTTTTCCCCAAATGGATATGTTATTTTACGTCAAAAAGAATAACCATACATGTCATCATCCTATCATAGTGATCACAAAAATGGAAAAGAATGAAAGAATTGAAACCTAAAGTTTTAAATCATCCCCTAACTACACTGAAAATAATAAATGGAATGATTGGATTGCTTGCTCTGTCTTAATTATGAAGTTTTGCATTCTGGAGGCAGACCTTGAGGGAACCTCTTAACATCTGCGCAGTAATTGTAGATCATGTAGTTTTTCTGTACCCATCTCAGTCTGTCTTGCGAAGCAGTGTCAAGTTCTTGTGAGACCCATGAAGAACTAGTGGATGAAGTTGAATTGAAGCACAAGATGATTTGCCAGAAGACCAGACGCAAGCATCAGCTTTGAAGTTTCTGTAGGAAGCAGTGAAGGAGCATGAGTCCAGTCCGTCTTCACAAGGCCACCTCTTGTTGCCCAGTCATCTGCATTCCACAAGCTTGAGTATATCCTCATTGGCTGGTTCTTCGGGAATGGGACACCAATGGACTCTGTTTCTTGAACTCTCTGATAGGAGTTCCATCCACTGAGAATCTGAATCAACAAAGGAAACAGAATGATATATCAGTCTATGCAGTATTAAGCATGAGAAGAGAAACCCGTGGAATGATTGGACGGAGAATAAAACATACATGATTCTTTGGGCTTTCCAGAGGATAGAGTAAGTGTGGAAATCTGCGGTTGGATCAAACCAGAGATAGAACTGCTGCTCTCTGTTTCCTTTGCCTTGGCTGAACACGTTGGTGTGAAGGACATATGGATCACCACTGAGGTTTCCCAGAAATTCATAGTCAATTTCATCCCAGTTTGATCCCTTTGAAGACAACTGCAAGTGCCAGCAAAGACTCAGATTTAGTTATGTCACATTGGGTTCAAAATTCATTTGCAGTGGCAAGAAAAACAAAAACTTACATAATAGGCAGTGACAGTGCCAGCAGAGTTTCCAGGGACGAGCTTGAGCTGCATGTCGATCTTGCCAAGAGATACTCATTCTTGGATTGAAAACCAGAGCCTGATGCTTTGTCCAGCGAGAGAGTGAGAAGCTCACCATTGTTGAGCATCTTGCCTCGACCATCTCCCCAAGTGATATCAAACTCTTGGTTCAAATTACCAGCAAGGGCAACAACCATGAGAGAACTAATAACAAGGGGAAGAAGAAGCATTACTGATACAGTTGTAGAACAAGCCATTTCTGAAGAGATATGCGAGGGAAGAAGGAAGTGAGGTTTGGTAATTGATGAAAGCTGGAAGGATGAGAATGGCAATGAAATGGGAGGAGGATGGTATTTATAAGAAGAATGGGAAGCGAGTAGAAGGGAAGGAAAGGGAGTGGAAGTTGCAGAGAGCTAGCAAGCTGTCATGGATGGACAGTACAGTTGTTGTGTTGCTCAGAAAGAGAAGTAATGATTCACACGATGCGCTGTGCAGAGGGCAATCGTGTACTAAATATTTGACCCGTTGTATTAAATTGGGATCTTTAGGAGAGAGGTTGTAATCTGTGAAGCAGCCAGCCGTCCCCCTTTTATTAATCAATTTGCTGGGCCACCTCCAACTCAACACGCAACTTATATATATTGTTGTCCTAAACTTGACGGCCCTTCATCGCCGTGGCCCACTTGACTTGAGGGGACACAAGGAGGAAACATCCTTGTGTTGTGCCTCTCCCTCCCTTACGCAAGGTGAAATTGAATACTATATTTCATGCTCACGTGACATTGTGCTCCTCTCCCTGTCAAGCACGTGACCAAATTTTACTGCTTTAGTAGTTTATAGTTTACACTTTACACACTCATCTTTTTTTTTTTTTTTTAACCATCCTGAGTTTTCCCATTACCCTCTCGAATGTTCCAACTTCCAACATGTTTTCTTGAAGATCTTCAACCATTGGTTGAAGCTTGAGATTGTTCAAGTTAAAAGCAATTTCTCAACCAGATGAAAAATCTTCTCAAGAATATCTGAACTGGAAAATTCCTCTCTCTCTCTCTCACACACACACTCTTCTTCTGTTTTTAAATATATAAAAAAAAACTATCACATATCTCTTTTGTTTTATTTATAAATAAAATTTTAAATTTTAAAAAGAATTTATTACATTTTTTCAAATTGTCCCTTATAAAATCAATGCTTATTTTCACTAGAAAAATTTTGTTTAATTAATTATAAAGAAATTTATTATAATTTTTTAATTTTAAATATGATTATTATAATTAATTAACTTTTTAAATCAGACTAAATTAATTTTTTTTTTATATTTACAAATAAAGGGTGTGTGTCTGTGTGTAAGCTTGTGGTCGACGGTAGGTACTAAGGCTAAAAATATATTATGAAAGGTATTTTTGAACTGTATATTACTATTATTATTCATAACTTGGCACATTTTAAAATGTTCATTTAATTTCATTTATAGATTATGATGTAATTTTTTAGGTATTATTTAGGGTGTGTTTGAATTTTAATTGAAAAAATAATTTTTAAAATATGATGATGTTTGGATAAATTTTTAAAATTTGATTGTGATAAAGTTGATGATGTTTAAATAATTTTTTTAAAATTAATTTTGAGTGAGTAATTCTCTATTCAAAAGGACAAGTTAATAATGTTCAGAATTAATTTTTTAAATGAAACAAATTTTAGCTTATCCCAAATAAAGTTTTAGAAAAAAATAAGTTTGTGAAAATTAGTGTGTTTGGATAAATTTTTCAAAACCATAGTCTTGAATTTAGAATTGATTCTAGAAGGATATTCAAATAGACTCTTAAATATTTTTAAAATATCCTTCATGGAAGGAAAAAAATAATATGACATCACTTTTTTAACTTATTATATAGAGACATATTTAAATTTTACACACTTTTATTTTTTTATTTTTTGCATTAATATCAATAAAGTTGGTAAAAATAATTTATAAAAAAAGATAAGAGAAGTACGGCTCAACAAACATAAATAGCAATTTTGTCCATATTATATAACATAAATTAAAATTCTTCTATGTATGGGATTGTCCTTACATTTGGTATGCATTAATTAATTGTACTATTCTGTACGCTGTGTTTGGGTGTAGCAATCATCTTTACATTAGAGAGATTGATTACATTAAAATTTGCAACTTCTTCACATCTGAGCTGTGTGTGGCACTCCGTGTGCATGTATGTAATACTGTTGGGGAAAATCATGAAAAACCAGCCAACGATTTGTCATGCAAAATCAACTGTGACTATGAGGTCCTCAGAAAATATTAATATGATTGTGTTCAATTGTTTTCAACAAGTACTTAGTAGCTTGAATTTATCTGATCTTTCTTCTGTTTTTTCCACTAAGTTTTCGCATCCTATTTGATTCCATGACTTCTGAAAAAATGACCATACAATCACTTGAATTATATAAATAGCAATTTAATCTTTTAAATGTCATAATTTTACTACTCAGATTTAAAAACTCTTATGTTAATAATTTTAAATTAAAAAAATTATTTTATGATTTCATTTAATTCTTAAGATTCTTTAAATAAAAGTTGTGATTAGAGTTTGTTATTTTAAAAATTTTATTTTTTAATAACATAAATTATACTTGATAAATTATTATTATTTGTTTTACTCTTATGATTTATATAATAAAAGTTATTCCTTAAATAAAAGTTATGATTGAAGCTTATTATTTTGAGAACTTATTTTTTAATAATAAAAATTACATTTGACATTTCTTGTTTCAATTCATACGATTTACAAAATAAAATTTATTATTTTTTAAAAGAATTGTGATTAGGGTTTGTTCTTTTCAATAAGAGTGAAATAATCTTTTTATTTTAAAATTTATTGAAATAGAAATCCCTAAAAATTTTTAATAAATTGTGATATTTTGATAGATCAAGCTATCATTTGTATAATTTGGGAAGGATTTTGTTGTCATCTTACCAAAATTCTTTTCTTTAACCTTGTTTCATTTTATCGTTATCGTTAAGAAACAAACCTAAAATGATGGAAATGTAACAGAGAAGACCATCATTTTACTACGAAATGATCTATTTTACATAATAAAGAATAGCCATTCATGTCATCACACCATCACAGCGATGACTACAATGGAAACGAACGAATGAATTGAATCCAAAATTTCACATCCACAAATTATAGTTACGTAACCGTTACTGAGAAAATAAATTTCGCTGCTCAGTTTTGCCTTAGGAGGCTCTGCATTCTGGAGGAAGACCTTGAGGAAACCTCTTAACATCTGCGCAGTAATTGTAGATCATGTAGTTTTTCTGTACCCATCTCAGCCACTCTTGTGAAGTAGTGTCAAGCTCTTGTGAGAGCCACGAGGAACTGGTGGAGGATGAAGATGATGAAGTTGAAGGACAAGATGATTTGCCAGAAGACCAGACGCAAGCATCAGCTTTGAAGTTTTTGTAGGAAGCAGTGAAGGGAGCCTGGGTCCAATCCGTCTTCACGAGGCCACCTCTTGTTGCCCAGTCATCTGCATTCCACAAGCTTGAGTATATCCTCATTGGCTGGTTCTTCGGGAATGGGACACCAATGGACTCTGAGTTCTTGAACTCTCTGATAGGAGTTCCATCCACTGAGAATCTGAATCAACAAAGGAAACAGAATGATATATCAGTCTATGCAGTATTAGAAGATGAGAAGAGAAACACGTGGAACTGATTGGATGGAGAATAAGAACATACATGATTCTTTGGGGGTTCCAGAGGATAGAGTAAGTGTGGAAATCTGCGGTTGGATCAAACCAGAGATAGAACTGCTGCTCTCTGTTTCCTTTGCCTTGGCTGAACACGTTGGTGTGAAGGACATATGGATCACCACTGAGGTTTCCCAGAAATTCATAGTCAATTTCATCCCAGTTTGATCCCTTTGAAGACAACTGCAAAACCAAAAGAAGACAGATCAGATTTAAATTGCCGTACATAAACCTTGAAAGTTAATGTTTTGCAAAATTGACAATAAGCAAAGAAACTTACATAATAGGCAGTGACAGTGCCAGCAGAATTTCCAGGGACGAGCTTGAGTTGCATATCAATCTTGCCAAAGAGATACTCATTCTTGGATTGAAAACCTGAGCCTGATGCTTTGTCCAGTGAGAGAGTGAGAAGCTCGCCATTGTTGAGCATCTTGCCTCGACCATCGCCCCAAGTTATGTCAAACTCTTGGTTCAAATCACCAGCAAAGGCAACAACCATGAGAGAACCGACAAGAAGAGGAACCAGAAGCATCACTGATACACATCTGAAAGAAGCAGCAGATGAAGCCATGTTGTAAGAGAGAGATTGGAGTGATTTTTTCAAATAGCTAGTGAAGTATGAAGGATGAAGATAAGAATGAACTTGGGGTCGGCATTTATAACCAGCAGGCGTAGCGAATAGAGAGTGAGGAAATGAGGTCGAAGGTTCAGTGAGCTAGCTATAGATGTGTTGTATTGTGGAGTTGTTGCGTTCCTCTAAAACAGAACTCTATGAGTAACGTATTAGCTGTCCAGATCGCACTCGATTTAGGTACTATTCAATTCAATACCAAATTATTAACGCGTTGTCTATTAAACTTGAACGAAAAGCTTAGGCCTGTCACGGCTCAACTTTTTAATCTTTATTGAATTGATCTGTGGGTCCCACTGCCAGCAAAGAAAGCAACTTTTGCAGCTATATTTTTATTCCAAAAATAGGAGAGGCCCTCCACCGCCATGGATGGGCCTGCTTCAGGGAGACATGGGCAAAAACGTCCTTGTCTTTATCCTGTTCCTAACACACGCACGTGCTTAGGCGTTTCAAATCACGTGTAGCCTATTCCAACGTCTCTGGTTGAAACAAGCGAACTAACTTGACAGTTTGTTCTTGTAAAGAAACTTGGGAAAGAGACCGAACTGCATGTAGTAATTTCTTATCTCTCGTGCCAACTACGCTAGTCCTCTTAATCTTAAATGCTTCCTTCAAGTATAAAGGCAACCTTTTTAGTATTAAAAGTTCTCAATGTGTAGATTGACAATAGTAATAATTTGCCATAACATTTTTCTAAGGTTATAGTATTAAAAATTTTAAGAGCTTTGTATCAAGTTAATGGTTGAAATTCAAGCGTTAAGAATAAATACAAATAAATTATAGAGATGAAAGTTAGAGATTTCCTGAACCTGTAGTTATGATTAAAAAAAAAAAAAAAGGAACATATGATATTTTCGTGTCTGGCATTTTTGGAGAGAATAAGAATAACAACTTTGCGTTTTGATGAGAAATTCCGGTGTTCTGAACTTGATACTCCTGGAAATTGATTTGAATCTTTCCTTGTGAAACTGGGTGGGAATATTGATGCTCTGGTGTTCACTGCCTTGGTGAAAATTGTTTCTGCTTAGCTTTGTGACATGTTAACTTTGTTTTTATTTTGCTTTATAGAGTTCATTTAACTGATATCTGGAGGCATTTGAAGCTCTTATGAGCTGATGCATTTTTTCATTTACTTTCTGTTTGGTCTATAATGATTGTCCCTTTGCCTCCTCTGTTGTACACTTCTTTCACTTCTTTGAAATAATTCTTCAATATATATTTCAACTGCAATTTTTTTTCTTTTGCTTTCGTGTCTGAAGTCTGAGAATTGATTCCTTGCTTCACATTGTAATACTACTCCCTCCTTCAGTTCAAAGTGAAAAACTTGGGTCGTAATATTTATTACTCTATTGTATTATGAGGTATATTTTATTTGTTTTAACATAGAGCTTGTTAGACTGGATCTGAACTATTTCTAGTTTTAGTTTGTCTCCCTGTGGTAGAATGAAATTGTTGATGCCTTGATGATTCAAGCCCTAGTGAAGTATTAAATTGCTGCATGAAAAAGCTCTGATTATTATAGACTTGGTAGCTTATCTGAATGCTCAGGACCAAAATTTTATTATGAAAGGGAGATATATTACATCATAAAAAATAATCAAACATGTCATCACACACGATGACAAAAAGAATGAAAGAATTTAAGCCAACATTTAATGCAATGCATTGGCAGCTCTGTTTTCTCTTATGAGGTTTTGCATTCTGGTGGAAGGCCCTGAGGAAACCTCTTAACGTCTGCGCAGTAATTGTAGATCATGTAGTTTTTCTGTACCCATCTCAGTCTCTCTTGTGAAGTAGTGTCAAGCTCTTGTGAGAGCCACGATGAGCTGTTGGACGATGCAGTTGATGAAGTTGAAGGACAAGATGATTTGCCAGAAGACCAGACGCAAGCATCAGCTTTGAAGTTTTTGTAGGAAGCAGTGAAGGGAGCTTGACTCCAATCCGTCTTCACGAGGCCACCTCTTGTTGCCCAGTCATCTGCATTCCACAAGCTTGAGTATATCCTCATTGGCTGGCTCTTCGGGAAAGGGACACCAATGGACTCTGAGTTTTTGAACTCTCTGATAGGAGTTCCATCCACCGAGAATCTGAATCAACAAAGGAAACAGAATGATATATCAGTCTACGCAGTATTAAGATGAGAAGAGAAACACGTGGAAATGATTGGATGGAGAATAAGAACATACATGATTCTTTGGGGGTTCCAGAGGATAGAGTAAGTGTGGAAATCTGCGGTTGGGTCAAACCAGAGATAGAATTGCTGCTCTCTGTTTCCTTTTCCCTGGCTGAACACATTTGTGTGAAGGATGTAGGGATCACCACTCAAGTTTCCCAGAAATTCAAAGTCTATCTCATCCCAGTTTGATCCTTTTGAAGATAACTGCAAGTGCCAGAAAAGACAGATTTTGTTAGATCACAGTGGGTAATATCTTCAAAAATCATATGCAATGGCAAGGGAAAGAAACTTACATAATAGGCAGTGACAGTGCCAGCAGAGTTTCCAGGGACGAGCTTGAGCTGCATGTCGATCTTGCCGAAGAGATACTCATTCTTGGATTGAAAACCTGAGCCTGATGCCTTGTCGAGCGAGAGAGTGAGAAGCTCACCATTGTTAATCATCTTGCCTCGACCATCCCCCCACGTTATGTCAAACTCTTGGTTCAAGTTACCAGCCAGGGCGACAACCATGAGAGAGCTAACAAGAAGAGGAACAAGAAGCATGATTGACAGAGTTGTAGAAGAAGCCATGTTGAATGAGAAGAGAGGAAAGTGATGTTGGCTAATTGCTTGTATTGTATAAACAAAAGAATGAGGATGACTGTGAATTTGGTCGAGGTTGGCATTTATAACAAAGCAGGTGAAGCAAGCAGAAGGAGAGGAAAGGCCCAGGAAGTTGCAAGAGCTAGCTGTAATGCAGTATCATGCTGAGACGTGTTCCTCAAAAAGCGAACCCATGAGCAACAAATTAGCTGTGCAGATCGCACTGGGATCTGGTGATATTCTGTACCAAATGTTTGACCTGATGTCATATATACAGTATTTAATTGGAATGACAAGTTCAGATTTTTCAGAGCGGCTGTAATATCTAATATGTGAAGAATCACAGCCATACCCCTGATTAGTGTTTATTGATTAATCAATTATCTGGGTACCACCGCCAACCCAACACTCAACTTCTGCAGTTATATATTAAACTTTACAATTTCTGGACCTCAAGAGCCTTCACCGCCATGGCCCACCTGTTAGACATGGCGGAAGCATTTCATTGTGGCCCTTTTAATTCTTGCAAGAGAAGCATCCTTCTGCCTTCTCTTACGCGGAGGTAAATTGAACATTATATTTGGCCTCTCTCAAGGCGAGATTGAATTAATTTTGAAGTCAATTGCGACTTGCGAGCATTAGTGAAATTTGTGCGTGTAATAAATAAGAGGACCAGAACTCTTGTGGCATATTTTTCACCCGTTTTCATTAGAGTTAGATTAGATGAAGGGACTAGACATTCCCAATTAGACGAACAAAAATTTAAATTCATGTTAAGAAAGATATTCACATTTAATGTTTTACCATATCTTAAATAAAATTATTTTAGATGATATCTCGGAGCAATTAAAAAAACAAAAAGAATTAGATGAATGTAGTAGTGAATGAATATGATTTTTAAAATTGAATTTTTTTGGGTAATCAAATTGATTTTTATTAAAAATAAATTTATTTAATTGATTGTAATTCAATTTTACGGCGACATGTTATTTGCTTTGTTAAAATTATATAGATCTCCCATATATTTTAAAAACTTACACTTTAGAATAATTTTTAACATGCTTAAGAATATTCTATTAAGGATTTTAAAAATACGTTTTTTATTCGTAATTATATTACAAAATTAAAATTATTAATTTTTGTTTATAATCTGGTTGTCTACTTTCTTTATCTTCAATTTAAAAACTTTAAATAATTAGGTTTGATGATATTTAAATAAATAATTTAAAAATATTGTTGAAAATTAATACTTTTTTTAACAAAACAAGCATAAAATACATTAACTAAATTATATATATTTTATTAGATCCCTATTTTCATTAATTTTTTCGAATTTGAACTATTATTTTACCCAACTAATATATTTAAATTTAAAAATTTATTAAATAAAAATTCAAACAAGAAAGTAAAAAAATATGGATTCAAATTTTAAAGCTTTTCAGGTAAACTAAATGATTTTTAAAACAACATCTGAAGTATTTTCATTCGCATATGTGATTCAAAGGTTAATTAATATATAGTTACGTGGATAAAAATACAATTTTAATACAAAACAAAAATTTATGTCTTGGGACTGTTATTTAAAAAAAAAACATTCATATAGATTTTTAAAATATATACATATAGGTGTAAATTGTACTCAATAATCAAGATAAGATAAGGGAATTTTAAAAGCTTTTGTTACATCCATGGCCGTGTATTACACTTGTCAGCCAACGCCGACTACGCCGATGTTTTGTGGTCGGCACGGGGCTCCACCGCCTCTGTGCCATGCTTGTCCTCTACTTCTACGTAGCAATGTTAAATTGTTCACACAGGAGCCTTGCAAAATTTAATAAGATTAATCACATTTTTAAAATGTCCTTTATCTCTTCCATTCATAACTTGACAAAAAGCTGTTAAAAAATTTATATTTAATTAGTTTTATCTTATTTTTTTATATTTGAGGAAAGTAATTAACAGGATTTTATAAAAAGATGGGAAGGAGTATAATTCACGTGTTTGACGCGCTCCCGAAGACTTTGGAAGCGATTAGAACTTTATCGTCCTTCTTATGTACTCTTACTCTATAACACAGGCATATCTGTCTTTAGCAAGTTTTCCATGCCTAGTGCTGGATATAAACTTACTCCATTAGTTAAAAAATATAAATTAAAAAGTTAGATGTATAATCTTTTAAGATTTAATTATTATTATTTTTTAAAATATCCTTATTGATAATGACTTTATATTTATTATAAGATATTTAATAAAAATAAATATGAAAAAATAAGATTAATTTAAAAGTAAATAACTACTTTATTAAAAAATAAAATTTAATTAAAAATATTTTATATTTTTAAATGAAAGAGTTCATCTTATTCCAATATATAATTAAAAATACTGCACATATGCGTGTACTCGTGCGTGTATTTTTTTTTTTTTTTAAGAAACTAATTTAAGGCCCGCACGAGTTCTTAGTCCAATACATAAGAGTCCCAGATCAAGTCGAAGTTCCAACACTACACAGAATTAGGGTTATCTATTGTGTAATGGTTTCTAGAGCATTCTTTATTATTTTGTACTGGCCTATTGGCCCACGTAGCCCTCTGTTGTATGATGTATTGCCCTGTACACAGTACAGTATTCATTGTTATGAAGAGAGGAAATATTTTCAGAATAATTCTATTTATATACGTGTATGTATGTATAAACTTTTGTTTGGGCTACCCACATGCATACTATTAAAAGTAATATTATTTGAGATATTATTAAACATTAAAAATGAGCACCTCTTTGATAAAAATTTAAATATTAATTTATATGGTCATGCTGTAAAGAGCTAACATCTTCAATTAAATCTCACCCAATTGATATATATGTTTCAACTTTTCTCAACTAAGCAACGCATCATAACTAGAAATATAATTGATATCTAATTGAAGCTTTGTATAAACTTTGGATTCAAATGATATTTTGAAGGCCAGTGAAAATCTAGGTGAATTAAGGTTAATTCTTTCTGAGAAGCGGTCAGATATGGTACGTCATAAAGTTTCTTAGATCATACTATTAGGCTAATTAAGGAACGTATATATACACCCACACTAACGCGTCGTAAAAGACGTGCCTTTCATGTTGACTATTGCCAATTAAATATGCAATTGATGATGACGTCTTTTTTTAAAAAAAAAAAAACTACGTACTACTGTATTCGCGAAGCAGTTGGATTTAGCGTTTTTAATTTGCTTTTTCTTAGGAGTTAGTAGAGACTGTGAAAAACTAGTAGCTTATCTGAATCCTGTTTGTGCCATAGTCATCATGGGTTCCTGGTATAGTAATAGAATTGCCTTCGGTTTGATTTTACCTCCCTACCTTTTGAACCGCGGTGAAATATAGGTTGCTTTCCTAACATGTTCATAACATCAGAAAAATTGCATGCGGAATTTATAACACAAACAATGGGAAGAAGAAAGCAATATATATATATATATATATATATTCCGATTTCCGTAATCAAAAAAAATTAATTACATCACAAAGAATGACCCTAAATATATAGCGATGTCAAATGCACAAAAAGCTCATAAATTTAACGCATGGCTTGGTACGTTATTAAGAGGCTTTGCATTCTGGCGGAAGGCCCTGAGGAAACCTCTTAACGTCTGTGCAGTAATTGTAGATCATATAATTTTTCTGAACCCATCTGAGCCTCTCTTGAGAAGTAGTGTCCAGCTCTTGTGAGAGCCACGAGGAACTCGTGGTGGATGAAGTTGAAGGACAAGACGATTTGCCAGAAGACCAGACGCAAGCATCAGCTTTGAAGTTTCTGTAGGAAGCAGTGAAGGGAGCTTGAGTCCAATCCGTCTTCACGAGGCCACCTCTTGTTGCCCAGTCATCTGCATTCCACAGGCTTGAGTATATCCTCATTGGCTGGTTCTTTGGGAATGGGACACCAATAGACTCCGAGTTCTTGAACTCTCTAATGGGAGTTCCATCCACTGAGAATCTGAATCAAATTGATTTATCAGTCTACGCAGGATTAAAAGGACAGAAGAGAAACACAAGAAATAATTGAATCGAGAATAAGAGCTTTACATGATCCTTTGGGGGTTCCAGAGGATAGAGTAAGCGTGGAAATCTGCGGTTGGGTCAAACCAGAGATAGAACTGTTGTTCTCTGTTTCCTTTTCCCTGGCTGAACACGTTGGTGTGAAGAATATAGGGATCACCGCTCAGGTTTCCCAGAAATTCAAAGTCTATCTCATCCCAAGTTGATCCTTTTGAAGATAACTGCAAGTGCCAATAAAGACAGATTTTGTTAGGTCATAATGGGTGATCCCTTAAAAGATTATTCTGCACTACCCCAAAAAAAGCTTACATAATAGGCAGTGACAGTGCCAGCAGAGTTTCCAGGGACGAGCTTGAGCTGCATGTCGATCTTGCCGAAGAGATACTCATTCTTGGATTGAAAACCTGAGCCTGATGCCTTGTCGAGCGAGAGAGTGAGAAGCTCACCATTGTTGATCATCTTGCCTCGACCATCCCCCCACGTTATGTCAAACTCTTGGTTCAAATTACCAGCAAGGGCGACAACCATGAGAGAGCTAACAAGAAGCATGATCGATACAGTAGAAGAACCCATATTGAAAAGTGTCGCAGTAGCGATCTTTGCTATTCGCTAATGAAGAATGAAAGATGAGAGTGAATATGGTATGGATGAAGGTGAGGAGGGTATTTATAGCAAAGAGATTAAGAGGATGAATGAAGCGAGTGTGGTGAGAAGGCCCCATGAAAGTGCAGTAAGCAAGCTGGATGACAGTAAAGAAACATCTGTCCAGGATGGCACTAGTTAATGGGTAATAAGTGAAAGCACAAGCAGTACAAATTAAAATCATTGAAGTAGCGCGGAATGATAAAGGAGTTCAAAATAGAGGCGAGTAGTTATCAATTGGCTGGGTTGGTGTGGCACCGTACGCCAGCCGAGCCCTCATCTTTAACAGCTATATTATTATAATTAACTAAAATTCCTGAACCAGAAGAGCCTCCACCGCCACGGCCCGCTTGAGTGCCTCA